GCCATGCCTTGCTATTAGAGGATCATTCTCCTTTCACCCAACAGATGCACTAGGCTACATGAATGGCTTTATGATGTTCACATTGCTGACTTTTGTGAAACAATTCAGAATTGGGTCACCAGATTAGCTTTATAAAAATGAGATGCTTGTAATGTTCGATGCTATAAGAAGCTATTGTATTTACCAAAAGAGCACAGATTATTTGACTATGACCACCCAACACTCTTTGATTACTTCAATGTGGAAAAGAAAGATTTTCCTTTAAAAGCCATTTTTAACTCAAGGCCAAGTGTGGAATAAAGCATTTGTTAAGAATGATGATGGGGAATTCTCTGGTGGTCCAGTGGTTAGGCCTCTGTGCTTTCACTGCTGAGGGCTGGGGTTCTATCCCTAGTCAGGGAACTGAGATCCCACAAGCCATGCCGCATGGCCAAAAAAAATTTTTTTTTAAATAATGACTTGGGTGTTTTGACTGCTCAAAGGCTATTAGCTATGCTAGGACTCTTACTGCAAAGTTGAAATGGAAAAAGCAATGAGGTCACATGTTGGCCACACACTCCTATCCTGTGGGTCCTCCAGGAGTGATGCAGAAAGCTCAGCTTCTCTGTACACCGGTGCCGAATCAAATCTTGGAGGCAGAGTTCTGGGTGAAGTAGAAAAGGATAGCTTTATTACTTTGCCAGGCAAAGGGGGACACAGCAGGCTCCTGCCTCAAAATACTGTGTGTCCTCACTTGGAGAAGATAGTGAGAAGTTTTATAGTAATTGTTCAAAGACGGTGTGATCAGCTCACGGACATTGTTCTGATGGGTTGGTGGTGAGGTAAGAGTCGGCATCATCAACCTTCAGGTCCAACTGGTCTGGGGTCTACATGCTTGTGGGCAGCATACTGTCGTTAATTGTTAACTTCTCCCACCTGGAGGGGGTTTCGGTATCTGCAAAATAGCTCAAAGATATTGTTGTGTGCATCTGTTCATAGGGAAACAGACCCTTGCCCCAAGGCTGCTCTTGACTGTTTCCCCCAGGTCTGGCATCCCCTTCCTTCCCTAATTAACAACTGCTTGAATCTGCCTATTGGAACTCAGGGAAGGTCATGGAGGCTGAATGAAGGCTGTTTCCTGTAATCAAAGAAATGGGGGACACAGAAAGGCTTTGTGCCCAGGAGCCCCACAGGGCCCTGCTTGGTATCAAGTGATGGTACAGAGCACATCTGGCCAAGAGTTTTGGAGTCTGGGTTGGGAATTTCCCAGATTTGCAACTGGCACCCTCTATCAGTAAACGCCAACGTTCACGCCCTAATGGGGATACCAGCTGGTGAATCGTTTGTTCACCATTTCCTTCCCAGCTAGATACAGAGAATTCTGCAATCATCTTAATAGATCACAAAACTGGGTTACAAAGTGGTTGTACGGCCACTGGAATTAGAAAATCCAGTGGAAAATCCAGCCCTGATGGTAGTTTTTTCTATTAATTCATTATAAATAGCTCAAGCCTTATCCAACATGTGCATTTTGAATCTGGAAGCAAAATTGATAAACTCCTCTCAGAGTCTGGGGACTTAGAATGCACTTAGATATGCTAAGTCTATATACCAGTTTTATTTTATTTTATTTTTACTTTTTTTTTTTTTTTTTTGCGGTACTTGGGCCTCTCACTGTTGTGGCCTCTCCCGTTGCGGAGCACAGGCCCCAGACGCGCAGGCTCAGCGGCCATGGCTCACGGGCCCAATCACTCCGCGGCATGTGGGATCTTCCCGGACCGGGGCACGGACCCGTGTCCCCTGCATCGGCAGGCGGACTCTCAACCACTGCGCCACCAGGGAAGCCTATATACCAGTTTTAGACAAAAGAAAAAACTTCTAGCAGTGGAAAGGATGGATTCGTGGTTTTACATGCACTTTTTCACAATGTAAGGACAAAATAGTGATTCGTGGGTTTTTTTCTTAATTAATTAATTTATTTATGGCTACGTTGGGTCTTGTTGCTGAGTGGGAGTTTTCTCTAGTTGCGGCCAGCAGGGGTTACTCGTCGTTGCAGTGTGCAGGCTTCTCATTGTGGTGGCTTCTCTTGTTGTGGAGCATGGGCTCTAGGCACGCAGGCTTCAGCAGTTGTGGCACGCGGGCTTCAGTAGTTGTGGTGCATGGGCTTAGCTGCTCCGCGGCATGTGGGATCTTCCTAGACCAGGGCTCGAACCCGTGTCCCCTGCATGGGCAGGCAGATTCTTAACAACTATGCCACCAGGGAAGCCCATCATTTGTGTTTTAAAATGTGGATATGTAAGCATACACTTCTGTTTTAGCATATCCACATAGCCTGGCTTATACATCACCCTTTTAAAAAGTTTATTTATTTGGCTGTTCTGGGTCTTAGTTGCAGCACGCGGGCTCTTTTAGCTGAGGCATATGGGCTCTTAGTTGTGGCAGGTGGGCTCTTAGTTGCGGCATGCATGTGGGATGTACTTCCCTGACCAGGGATCGAACCCAGGCCCCCTGCATTGGGAGTGTGGAGTCTTAACCCCTGGACCACCAGGGAAGTCCCTACATTACCTTCTTATGAAAGTAAACACAAGAAGCTTTATCATCTTTTCATAGAGGGACAAAAGGATATGGGAGGAACAACTTTACTTCCCATTTTATACCTTTCTTTATTATTTGAGTTTTACTACAGTCACTTATTACTTTAATTTTGTTTAAAAAAATAAATTAGCAGATTATTTAGATGAAACATTTTAATTTTGGAATATTCAAATATTATGGAACATTTCAATTTTCTTCATAGGTTTTGAATTACAAAGTTATTAATATTATCTAAAAGAATAATTTCTAAAAATGTCTTAGTAACCACATTAAAGGCCAAAGACAAAAGTATAGAAAGTATCAGAAATGTATACAAATTTCCAAATTTTTCTGAGAATAAATGATTTTCGTTATTATGGAAAATAATGGTATTAATAAGTAATTTTAAAACTTTTACATTACAACTATATAATAATGCTCCTGAGAAGGACTTCTTTCAAGAATGAGCTCTGAATAGAGGTCTCTTTAACATATGTTAGAGATTTTTTTTTAAATCCACACAATGGAGAATGGACCTTTATGCCTGTTAAGTAAATGAATCCTACTATTTCAGTACTTGATACAAACTACAATCACTTTTTAAGGTGATCATACTTTACACTAAGTTCTGACATTTTCTATTTACTAGATATCTATATAAAAATAGCTTTGGGTCAGGAAAAACACCTTTGGATTACAAAATGTAGCTTGAAAGATGTTATAGCAGTTCTGAGTTATGTAACTTTCTGACCCCAAATTATTACTGTTTTTGGAACTACCCTAAATATATGGTCTTACTAAGCTTGAGCAGCTTTGGAATGAAAACATTAGTGTCACACAAATTCATATTTCAAATTCAATATATAAAGAATTCTATATTGGTTTTTTTTTTTTTTTTTCTCGCAGTACGCGGGCCTCTCACTGCCGTGGCCTCCCCCGTTGCGGAGCACAGGCTCCGGACGCGCAGGCTCAGCGGCCATGGCTCACGGGCCCAGCCGCTCCGCGGCACGTGGGATCCTCCCGGACCAGGGCACGAACCCGTGTCCCCTGCATCGGCAGGCAGACTCTCAACCACTGCGCCACCAGGGAAGCCCTATATTCTTTTTTAATGAATTAAGTGTAAATGGGAACACTTGGTATTTATTATTCATTTATTGATTCGACAAATACTTATCAAGCACCTATCATGTCCCATTAAAAGAGCTAAATGCATGAATTCAAAGACACATAAAACAATCCTTGTTCTCAATAAAATCACAACCTAGCTTCTTTACTTTGCAGGAAGGATGAAGTCATCTACTCAAGTAACTCCTCTTGTTGGCTACCTCAACTCTTTAAAGTCAGAAACATAAACTAACATTAAAATCAGAGTAAGGATGATAATTCTTCCCTCTATCCTATATTCTTAAAATTAATTACATCATCTTAATAGTTTAATATAGAAGCTAAAGTAAAAATAGTCTAGTTAATTCATCTGAGCAGTTATCTTTAAACTACATATTTACAAATAAGATAAAGATATAAAATGTTTCCAGAATATAATTCTATCCTGATATTCATAAACACAAGGCACTCATTGGTGGGCAAGATTGCTATCATTATTATTATTCACATATCATCATTTACCAAAATCCCTTGGCAACTTTGGAGGAATACTTGAAAAGGGACTTTCTGTGGTGTATCATTTTAACACAAAGGAAATATTATAAATGGTTTTTAAATCCTGATTTTTCAGCTCTTTTCCACATCTAAAGCCTAATATTAAATCAGAATAATCTTAAAAAATATATATATATAGGGCCCAAGGAATAGACTCCACATAGGCAACAAATCTAGGTTTTAATTCTTGCTGTTTGTTGCCTCTGAAATATATTTAAAAGTCAGTTAATTTAAAATACCTTTAATGTCAGTCAAAAGGATAACACCAATTGAAACACCTCACATAAGTATAAAATCACTAGGCGATTCAAAATGGCACATAAAACATGTATAACCTTTCATTGTGAAAATGCCTAATCTTATAACAGCACCAGAGTCTGCATTCCTTGAAGAAGAATTTTGTTACCATATTTAATACACCATGATCAATAAGGATGTATGGTAGTAGATAGACTTAAGGTGAGAAGATAATTAGATGACATACTTTCCCAGGTTCCCACCAGCTCTAAATTCTGTGATAGGAAAGAAATACTAGGTATAGTTTGCCCGGTTATTGTTGATCATTCTTACTCCATCCTAATTCCAACTGTATGACTTTATTATCATGAGCTCCCTAAAATCTGCTAACTCCTTTCTCCGGCCACCTATACTTAAAGGTTTATACTTTCTTTTAGGGTCTCACTTTCTACACTGAATGGACCCATTGCCACAGTGAAGAAAACACCCTCACACTCTTAAACGAACATATACCCTAGCTGGTATTGGCTCTAGCTATTGTAGTTTTCTTCTTTTTTTTTTTTTTTTTGTAGTTTTGAATTGTAAGTAGCTAGAAAAACTGTTCACAGCTTAGCAGTTTTATGGAACAATGTAATCAAGAACATGATAACCACATTCCTTGTATAAAACATGTAGATGTTGAAAGATAAGATCTGTAACCACAAACTTCACTGCCGCTTTCTGTCTTCTCTGTTATAATACGCTGTGTCCGTTCACCCTTCCATCACCATACCTATACACGGGGCTGCTGAAAGACCCACAGCTTCTCCTGTTTCTTCTTCTTTTGTTTCAGCCCCTTCACTTACTTTCTCATTCTCCACATCTGTTTCAACCTTTTCTCCTGTTTCACCTGGAAAAGTAACCAAAGGTAATATTAAGAGATACTTGTTTAGCATTAGTAACAAAGTGCCCCGCAGCTGGTTTCCAAGGGGGGCAGCTCTTGCTCTTTAGGTCTAGACAGTAAGTTTCTCTGGTGTTGTCAAGAAAGGCAATTGCCCTGGGTCTCTCAGATCCTCGGAGTGGCCCTGGGTCTGTCAGATCCTCGGAATGGCCCATGTCACTTACCATTTCCGAGTCTTCGCATTTTCTTATATAAAATCAGGATGCAGAATTACCCAAGAAAGACAGTAGAACATATTACAAATAGAAAATGCCATTTATATTTAATTCAAAATGTGTTCTATGGGTGCCCAGAAAGCGTCTTGTTTGGTCATTCTGGTGTTTAAAGAAAACAATCATTGAACTTTTAAAGAGTTTAAACATTTAAAAGCCTGGCCATTGCACATACAAATGTTTCCCTAAGAAGTCACTTTGGGCAACACTGGTCCCCGTGCTTTGCGTGGAGCCCAGAAGCAGCTGCCTCTTTTGATAGGATGGTGCTCCTGTTAACCAAGGTGCCCGGGGCTTCCCACAGCATTACATGTGCCCCTCACTTCACCCACTGTCATTATCCTAGGCCCTAAAGACTTGAGTGTGCCAACCCTGATCTAACGAATATATACCTTTACTTGCTTCTCCCTTGTTATTCCCAGAGCACTTTTATATACCTTCACTAAAGCACTTACCTCAGTAGACTGTAGTATTTTGTTTAAATTCTGCCTTCTCCCTGCTAGACTGTGAGCCCCTTGAGAACAGGGACTAACCCATTATTCCTGCAGCTAGCAGATGATCAGACACTCAAAAACTGCTGCATTAACTAATGAGAGAATTAAAAAACAGATGAATGTTTCACTTAATTATACTGTAGGGTGAAGCCAAAATTTACTAAAATGTAAAACCTGCCCTAGAAGAATTTTTTTTATTATAACGCCAATAAAGAACAGTATAGATACCGTTTGCTTTATACTGGTAAAGTACATTTTAAAAAAAACACCATTTGCTAAGACGTAGTACATTTCTCTAGTCTTCTAATAAAGATAAAAAGACTATAGGAGGACAGGAGCAGGCTGACAGTAATTTTCTAAGGATAAGAGTGCAAAGATGAAAGTGACACTCTAAGAGGCATTATTTGTGTGTTCTTTCATTAAAAAGTCAGTTCCTCCACTGACCATCTTTAATTTGTATCCTCATGCCATACATGGGGCCTGATGAAGAGTGAACTCGGAAAAATCCAGAAATGTAACATTCCTTCAATATTCCATTTTATTCAACAATGAAGCTCTAGGTTACAAATCTGGACACAGACTATGCTTTAGAAAATTTGTGCCAGAAAGTCAAATGCCTGTTTTTCAAGTATGGAATCCTTTTTGGTTTGGGTCAAATGAACTTCAACCACTGAAACAGAGACTAGAGGCGCTGTGTCAGCCACCCCGGTCCCCCAGAGATGATCTTTTATGGAGCACACCTAAACAACCTGTATCTGTGACAGCATGACTTTTACCTTCAGCGTGTTGGTCCTCTTCGTTAGCATGAATATTCCTGACCGTTTCCACATTTGCCCCTGTCTCTAGAATTTCTGCTGGATGTTCCATGTTTCCAACTATTCTTTCAGGTTGGATCTGCTCCATGTTTCCTGGACCTTCAGGAGTTTTATGGAGCGAATCATCCTTGACAGCTGTTTCCATAAGCTGGCTTCTGTCTGATACTTCTGGTGTTCCATTCTCTCTGGGAATCATCTCTAGAAGTTGGGACTGGTCATCTTCTCCCAGTGTTTCTTGAAGTTGCTGCTTTTCAGCTGTTTCCACAAGCTGACTTCCTTCCAATATTTCTGGAGATTCCGTCTCCTTGGGAACTGTTTCTGGGAGTTGGGACTGTTCATCCGTCCCCATAGCTTCTTGAGATTGTAGCTCTCTAGCTGCTTCCAGAGGTGGAATTTTCTCAGCTGTTCCTAGGGGTATCATCTCTCCGGCAGCTTGTGGATTCTCAGTACCTTCCACTGCTCCAGGAGAGTCCCTCTCTCCCGCTGTCCTCAAAGGTTGACTCTTGGCTTCTGCTCCTAAAGCTTCGGTCTCAGCGTTTCCTTTAAAAGGCTGAGCCTCTGTCACTGCTTCCACGTCCTTATTCTTTTCTCCTGCTCCTGGAGTATCATCTTTGCCACCTGGCTGAGGTGACCCAGACTCCTTCAGTCCCTTAAGAGGCTGAATTTCCTCTGTGGATCCTGGTGGGTCTGCAGCATCCTTTGCCAGGGGCTGTTCATGGAGGGATTTAACACCATTAGCTGTAGACACAGCTGAAATCTTGAGCTTTTCTAGTCGAGGAAGGCTTTCGTTTTGTACCTTGCCATATAAAGTAGATTCTCTTCCCAGTGTACGTGGTTTTGGTTGGACAAAGCAGGACTCACTTTCTTCTGTGGTTGAAAAATACATATTTGAAGTTACTTTTTATCATTCATTTGAAAAGAAAAAAATACAAATTATTGTTTAGTTTCTATCCTGAGTAAGTGTATTGCTATCAAGAAGTAGATTTAACAGTTCAAGACAGTCCTGGGTACAGTACAGTTGAGTACAGAGAGGCCATACCATGACCCTAACATGCCCTAAGTCAAATCTCTTTAGTGTTTTCAGCTCAAATACCTAGTCTTAAGCGTGAAGATCCCCCCAAATCACAGGTTTTTTTCCTGTTTGTTCCTTGTGCACCTTCTCATGACTCCAGTCCCATATTCTAATTTAGTACCCTTTGTTTCCTCATGCTCTTTCCTCTGCCCCACCCTTTCTCCTCCTTAGGCTTGATAGAAGATTTTATAGCCCAAGAAGTGGTCCTTGGGCTGCTAGAGAGGTCTTACCTTCCCCCTAAAGCAGAATGGCCCTCAGTGAAAGGAAAGGGTCCCATGACAGAGAAGCCCCACTAGGTCAAAACTAAGATGTCTGGGAGAGAAAGTGGCAGGCACAGTCCAGCCTGAGTTTCATTTCATTTGGGGGTCCTGGTTAGAAGAGAAATGAAGAGAGAGTTGGGAAACATGCATTTTAATTCTGGCTCTTCCCCCAACTGTGTGACCTTGGGAACTTAGCTCCCAATAATCATATCTATAAAATGGCAGTGAATCTGTCTCTCCTACCTACGTCAGAGTTGCAAGAGGCATCATATCACATTAAACAATGAATGCATAAGTGCCCTCTGGACAATTTAAGAAAGCAATGTGGCAACATGTTTATACTCTTTGACCCAGTGATCCTACTTCTGGAAATTTACCCTAAAAGCAGAAACTTCAGGGAAATGCTCTGGGGGAAAGTATATCATCCCAGTATTCTTTATAACAGCAAAATCTGGAAAACAACTTAAAAGTATAATAATTTGGGGGAAAGATCAATAATCCATTGGGTGGAATATTATTGTACCATGAAAAAGATGATTATGAAGACCATATGCTAAAATAATAAAATAATTATTATATAATAAGTTAAAAAATCAGCACTCCCAGTTGGGTTAATCAAATAAAATAATGGATATAAAGTGCATATTAGCACAAGGTCTGCTGTGCAACTATGTGCTCAATAAGTTAGCTATCAATTTTATATACAGTATGATTATAGCAATGTTGATCATTGGAAAGGAGAAAGACGGGAAAAGCAAACAGAGGGGGAGATACTGGAAGAAAATAAACCAGCATGTTAAAATGGGCCTCTAGGTGATATATTTCCTCTTCTACCTTTTTTTCCCCAAAGATAATTTTTCATCTTTTCCTGTCCTTTTTTTCCCTAAGTTACCCCTGACCCCAGCTATATATGCATATCGTTTAAAGAGTTACCTGCTTATTTAATGTAAGTTAAGATATACAACTAAGACTCAGGTCTGCTCTCTCTTTTCCCCTTCTCTAGGGTCAAATTTAGCTGTCTGGGAGGGATACTTTTTTTTCCTGTATCTCTAAGTGAATTGCTACTTCATTATTTTTTAGTTTGGGCATTTCAACTAACTCCCACTATGGAAAATAAAGACTTAGCGCTTTTTTTCTGCACCTCCATCATCCTTCACCCTCTCCCATTACACATTCACATTTCCTTTCAATTCAGTAATTGCATATTAGTAATGATTTAAGATAGTAATCATGAGACTTCCTTTAACCTTCCAGTGGTTAAAAATCCGCCTTCCAATGCAGGGGACGCGGGTTCCATCCCTGCTCGGGGGACTAAGATCCCACGTGCCGTGGGGCAACTTAGCCTGTACACTCTGGAGCCTGCATGCTGCAATGGAATATCCCGCATGCCGCAACAAAGATCCCACATGCCGCAACTAAGACCCGATGCAGCCAAATACATGAATAAATAAATATTTTTTAAAAAATAAAATACAATAGTAATCATGTTGTAATTTGGGTTATATCGATATTCAGTTATATGTACACATAATGAATATGTCTGCTACGAAGAACTGAGCCATGTAGTAAACTATTACTTGTGTAAATAAGTTTTAGTTTGTTTTTCCCAAGTTAGTAACTGTCATGAATCTTCACGTCCTTAGTTTATGTATTCTCATTACTTCATTTCACTGCCAATTGTTTCTCTTTTTAATACATTTATTCACATCAAATAGTCTCCCACCCTACCTCTGCGACTGTGTTTGAATCCCCCAGTGGAAAGGAATTAGAGCCTGAAGCTGGAGAAGCAGAGTTCAGAGAGGATTTTGTGAGACACAGGACACAGGCTGTGGGCCTGGGGTCCAGAGCTGGGAGGAGGGCTAGCCTGCGCCTCCCCCTCCAGCCTCATTATGCACGAAGCCTTCAAATTAATAGCACAGAAGGCAACTTAACAGAAGCAATTTCTCAGGTCTATAAAGAAATTCATTATGACAAGATAATTCATTTAGATACCACACAAAGGATGTTTAGGTGATGGCTGCGTTAGGGAATTGACAAGGAAATGTATTATTATGCTAATCACAGATGTCTGCCAAATTATATTTTCTGGTAAAATAGTTATTACAGTGATCAGTACTGTCAGTTAAATGAGACGAATGATTTTCATCCAGCTGTGCCAGCTGTGGGTGCATTCTATTGTCATCATTCTTCTAGAGCAGAAAGCTTGAAGGAGAAAATGTGTTGACACACCCAAATCATAGCCACTCAGTTTTATATTTTGAAAAATATATTATGCTATCAGGCTAAGTCAAGCTTTTTGCCCCTAAAACCAAAAGCTTTGTGAAAATTTATTTATAGACAAATGGTGTCTTACGTTTCCAAAGGACCTACCAATTTTTGCCATAACTAGAACATTGATGCCCATGATCACAGTATCGATTTTCATTCTTATATACTTTTTCTAGTCTTACTGGCGTACGTGAAGTAGGGAAATGTCCTCAACATATAATATTCCTATACTGCAACCTGAAAATAGTCAACCAAGCTGGGAAATATTACAAAAGAAGTCACTGTCTCTAACATTTTTCTGAGGTAGCCCCAAAAGCTAAAACATCTTTAAAATGATCACCAAAAATTAGAGAAAATGCGAAAAGTGTAGTGACACACTCATTTTGTAATTCATGTTGATTAACTGCACTCTGAATTTTGAAATAAATGTATTTTGGAGTTAATAACTCCTCACTAATCGCTCAGTAGTTCTTTTTCCTATGTGACAGAAGAGAGTAATCTGCTCTAAAAGGGAGGACAGAGATCTTATGATCTTGAAAATGACACCTCCAATGTACTAGGTTGGAATCCTCATTCTTCCACTTACTAGCCTTGTTAAGCCTCTTTGTGCCTCAGTTTCATCACCTGTAGAGTGGGAAGAGGAGCGGTCGAGCTGTTGTGAGGATTACACGAGTTGATACCTGGAAAACACCAGCACAGCGACTGGCACCCCCTGAATGCCAAGCAGCTAGCCATGGAAAGCGTTACACTTCACCTGCCAGCCCTAGCAAGGAAGAGACCATGGTGGACACACAGAAAGGGAAGGTAATTCCATTCATCCTAATACTGGTACCTTTCTCTGAGCCTATTCAGAAAAAAAGAAAGATCAGAGTCAATACATGAAAAGGGTTGGAAAACAAATGGTTGTTTCAAACCCTCTCTCAGAGGACACAATACTAAAGACTACAGTGACCACAAAACTTCCTTTCTTATGCTTCGGAATGTTTTTATCTCCAGCTGCTGAGGGAAGTACAATTTGGGGATCCATCTGGGCTCCTTCCTCTTCAGCTGGAGCAGGGCATTCCAGACTGTTCTGATGTTCAGTGTGACCCCTCATCCCATCATTTACTTAACTGTGCAATCCAGACAAGTTACGAAACTCTCTGGACCTCGGTTTCCTTATCTATTAAATGGGGATATTATCTTTGCCTTTCAGGCTTGTTAGGATCATTGATAATTCTGAGGTGATATGTGTGTGATTACTCAACATGGTATGTGACATGAGAAGGTACTCAGTAAACAGGGACGCAGCCAACGGCTCTGCAGGTTTCTCAGTGCATGGGGTGTGTCCCGCTGAAGGGGCAAGGGAGAGATGAACTCCAGCCTGTGTGCACCAGCAAGGTTGCATGCATCAGGGGTGGGAAGGGCAGCTTTTTCTGATTTCATAAAGGTCCTCTGTGGGTTAGCAGTAGCCCAGTAGTAGTCAATAAATTATAGCTAATTTAGCAACAGAAAGAATGAACTGCAACATTAAAGAGCTTGGATAAACAGTCCCCTAAACACTGTAAAGTTGTCACTGTTGACCTATAAAATTGTGTTGTTACTAATGGTAAGTTTTAAATCATGACTGTTGATAGAGAGTGAAGTAGTATTCATGTCAGCCATGATTTGACCGGATTTGACTGGCATTAATAAAGGCCACTGTTAGCTTTTATATAAACAAATATGTTTCATTCTGTTTGTTGGCTTTAATTTCATTTATTCATCAAGTATTGATCAAGTGCCTACTATATGCCTGCTCTGGGCTAAGCACAAGGGTTACAGCAGTTAACAAGGAAGATCTGGTCCTCGCCATCCTAGACTTTACTGTCTGCAAGGAAATTCAAATAATAGCTACTTCCCTTATTAAGCACAGCTTGGTACCTACGCACGACCTCTTACCCAAGGGTCTCCACACTCTGTCCACCTGGTTTTGTGAATCCCCAGGATAACTCCTTGAGGTGGAAGAAGGTTCTACACCATTTCTTCTAGCACTCTAACTTGAAAAGCAGTGAGATCTTTTGTTCAAAAACAGGAGACATTTTATGCCTAATCTGTATTATTATGTAATAAATATTGTGGACAGATGCATTGTTTCCACACCCGAAGTTGTTTAAGGATGTGACTGTTTTCTGAACCCTACATTTTATCAAATCATACACTGCTCTGGGCCTAATCCTTCGGTGCTCATTATCTCTCTTGATTCTGTTGTAAATTGATCCCTGCACAAATTTGTTGTGACAGCTGAACTAACAGAACCCTTGTTGCAAGCACCATTGTGATAGGCACACAAAGAAATTAAATACTAGGCAACATTACAGAAGGGATTAGAACCAGAACTAATCCAGGGATTAGAACTGGAAGCTTTTCTACTCAGTTCATTACCCTAATCAAAAATGAAAAGTTTCTACCCGGCAAGGAGAAAAACTTGAGGTCAATATTTCCTAATCCATGGCTAGGGCGTATCAGCCATCTCAAAGACCTCACTGGATTGTGTGCTGAGTTTTCTAGAGAATCAATGAGAAAGGGCATCCTGGTATTTTCCCTTGCTGCCACCATTTCTAGGTAATGGGTTACTCTTTGCTGCGGTGCACGGGCTTCTCATTGTGGTGGCTTCTCTTGTTGTGGAGCACGGGCTCTAGGCACGCAGAGGATTCAGTAACTGTGGCACGCAAGCTCAGTAGTTGTGACTCGCAGGCTCTAGAGCTCAGGCTCAGTAGTTGTGCCACACGGGCTTAGCTGCTCTGCGGCATGTGGGTTCTTCCCGGACCAAGGATCGAACCCGTGTCCCCTGCATTGGCAGATGGATTCCCAACCACTGCGCCACCAGGGAAGTCCCTAAAATTAGTTGTGATATCGCAAGGTAAATGCAATAAAGTTTGAAGGTAAATCTAATTTTGAAATTTAACTACAGAGTAACAAGAACATGTAGTTGGAAACATACTTCTGGAATACTTGATAAGTACACATGGAGATGGGGGGCTTCTGCCTAGGGGAGAGGCTGACATTGAAGAGCTACAGAGCCAGTCATCAAACATAACAAATAGTCACCGCCTTCAGATATGATTTTCTAGTTTCATTTTCTTTGGTTTCTTCTAGACTCCCATAAGATAAACTCTTATTTCAAGAAAGGTATTTTACAGTGATTGCATAAAACATTTTAAAAAGTATCCACAGTATTTGTACTAAAAAAGGCAAGTTTCATTGATTGATGGTCATTATTGGCACATGGGAATCCAACATTTGAGCAGAAATCCAGTCTACAAAATCAAAGACTCGTCAGTGAACAAGGAAAAAGAGAGAGAAAGTGAAGATTATGTCTCTGATATGTATAAATTGTGACACTTCACCAACCTAAACAGGCCTCGCCCATGATGCTTCACTAGGAACAAGAGTGGCTAACATTTATTGAGGCACTGTGCCTAGAGCTTTACAGGGATTATCTCATTCAATCTTCCCAACAACTCCACAAGGTAAGTCCATTATTATCTCCTTTATATAGTTGAGGAAAGATTAAGAACATTTATCCGGGAAGGGTGCACAGTTGGGAGTAGCAGAGCTCAGATGTGAGCCAAAGGAAGTGTGATCCTACTTTGAAGATTTAGGTGCTTTAAAGTCAATTGTGGTTCCAGAACCTGCACCATCAGTATTACCTGGGAGGTTTTTGGGTTTTGTTTTAGTGTTGACTCACAGGCCCAAGCCCAGATCCACTGAACCAAAATCAGTATTTTTAATAAGATCCCCAGATAGTTAGCTTATCTATGGCAGCACTCTGGGTTTATCAGGGAAAGGCATGATGGGATTAGTTAGGAGAGACTAAAGTGGATGACAAACACACAGAACTGATGGGTGTGGGTGTCCCGTGTTCTCCGCAGGCAGTGCTGCCCATCTTTAAACATTGGGTATGGTCTCTGTCCTCATGCTAGCATGCCATGGCAGCACAAGAGATGAGGTGAGTATATTGCTGCAGCAATGAAGCAAGGGCCAGAGCTGATCTAAGTGAGCTCCATACCGGGGAGCAAGATTTTTCTCAAGCTTCCCCATGTCCCAGAACTGGCTGGGTTTGCTAAGCCTCCACCTTGGCTAAAAGACAAAGAGGTCTTCTAATTTCTCATCTGAAATGAAGGTTAATACTCGCTGCGCCTCGCTCTCTAAGGGCTCTGAGCAAGCGGCTCCACCGATGCTCATATTGGTGGCTGTTCTCCCGGCTCAGCCACTGTGTCTGTGCCTCACTCCATCACGATGCAGAGTACAAAGGTGCCTGTGGCCAAGAGCAGGTGTCTGTGCTCAAGAAGGGAGTATTCCCATTAGCAGTTAGCAAGTCTGTGGCTGGGATGGAATACTTAAATTTTGCAACAGAGCAGTCAGAGTCACACCAGACATTTGGACCTCAAGTCTGGGTGCTTAGTGTACCCTGAGAGCCCCCCAGAAAAAGCAGCGGGCAGACCAAGTAGGATTGTGAGCCCAGGTCTTTCAGCTGACCGCTGCTACTTCTCTCTCAGGTTAGGGATCCACATGCAATTCAGATGAGTTTGCTGCCATGGTTAGTACAGATCACATTAAGGGAAGTGAGGGGGGACTTCCCTGGTGGCGCAGTGGTTAAGAATCCGCCTGCCAATGCAGGGACACAGGTTCGAGCCCTGGTCCGGGAAGATCCCACATGCTACAGAGCAACTAAGCCCGTGCGCCACAGCAAGAGAAGCCACTGCAATGAGAAGCCTGCTCACCGCAACTAGAGAAAGCCCACACACAGCAAGGAAGACCCAACGCAGCCAAAAAATAAACAAATTAATAAATTAAGTAAATTTAAAAATAAGTAAAGTATGGACTTTGGTTCATAATAATATATCAAGCTTGGTTAATTTCTTGTGACAAATGTACCCTACTAATGTAAGATGTTAATAATAGGGGAAAGTGGATGTGGACTATATGGGAACTTTCTGTACTATCTTCATAATTTTTCTGTAAATCTAAAACAATTCTAAAATCAAGTCTCTTTTTAAAAAATTATACTAGCAAAAGTACAGGAGCAAGTAACCTAGCAAAATAAGCTCTAGAAGCCTTAGAAAAATGTTCATAAAACTTGGGCCATTCACATAACCGCTTTTGTGATTTTTGAATATTTTTGTACCACTTGTGCTGTTACTGACAGTATTTTTGTCACTTTCCTTTAACACATTTACTAAAAAGAAAAAAAGCTCAGAAAATCAACAGATTCAGATCTAGACCTTGATCTTGAGTGAAAAAACAAAACTTGATCTTGGAAAAGCAATAAAAATTGAGATTTACTAAAATTGATATTAATTGATCTTTTTTATTGAGGACTTACTAGACAATATTCTAAGCCAGGGGTCAGCAAATTTTTTTCTGTCAAGGGACTGACAGATGGTAAATATTTTCAGCTTTGCCAGGCATAGGGTCATTATTGCAACTACTCAACTCTGTCATCTGTCTTTGTAGTGAGAAAGCAGCCTTAGACGATGTGTAAGTGAATGGGCATGTCTGTGTTACAATAAAACTTTATTTACAAAAACAGGTGGTGGGCTGGTTTGGCCAGCAGGCCAGTTTGCCAATCCCTGGTGTAGGCAATATTTAGGTTCCATTTAGTTCCATTAGTGTACTATAGGTACACTATAGTATTAACTCATTTATTCCTCAGAACAACTCTATGAAATAGGAACTACTGTTAATCCTATTTTACAGATGACATCACTGAGGCATAAAGAGGTTGAGTGGCTCAAAGTCACACAATTAATAAATGATCCTGAACCATGATTTAGACCCAGACAGTCAACTCCAGACCCACATTTTAAATTGGAACTCTACTGTCTCTTAGTATGTTGAAATTCTCCCTTTCACGTGTGCCCCCCACCTCTTTCTCTCTCTCTCTCTCTCACACACACACAAACACACACACACTAATTCAAGGTGTACAGGTGATTATAGCCTCTCACAACCATCTAGTCTGTAAAGGACTTCCCTGGTGGCGCAGTGGTTAAGAATCCGCCTGCCAATGCAGGGGACATGGGTTTGAGCCCTGCTCCGGGAAGATCCCACACGTCGCAGAGCAACTAAGCCCGTGCACCACAACTACTGAGCCAGCGCTTTAGAGCCCGCGAGCCACAACTACTGAGCCCATGTGCCACAACTACTGAAGCCGGCACGCCTAGAGCCCGTGCTCTGCAACAAGAGAAGCCACCGCAATGAGAAACCCGCGCTCCACAACGAAGAGTAGGCCCCGCACACCGCAACTAGAGAAAGCTGAGAGCAGCAACGAAGACCCAATGCAACCAAAAATAAAAATAAAGAAAAACAAAAAACCATCTAGTCTGTAGAGGCTACTCCAGGGCAAACAAAGGAAAAGGAAATTAGCCAAAGGAAACTATGCGGTTCCTATCAGTCTTAGGAAAATGGAAAAGGATAAGAATGAGGAGGGGGAAAAAGTTCCTTATCATTACCAATGACAGTGAGAAAGAAGCAAGGAGGGCGGTTTGGGGAGGACATTTCAACAGAGGTCCTCACTGGGATGGCTGAAGGCAAATGTTCTCTCTCAGTAAGAGAAACTACTAGTGAAAGCGATAGAGCAGTTGGAAGGCCTAGCCCAGGGCTTCCCATCTCTTTAATGTCACAGCACACATAGAATATGGTATTTGTGCAGCACACGGGGCACATGGAGAAAGCTGTACCCAGAGGGCTCGGACCATCCCGACCCTGCCTCCCTAGAGGCTGGGAGGAAGGCTGGCACACTGGATCCCATGCTCACAGGCTGGGAAGCTCTGATATATACAACACAGGGACAAATGTATTTCTGTCACCAAAAATAGACTAGAGCAGCATTAGCTGGGCAAGGCTGAGAAGATAGATGAAGCAGGGCGGTCTGCAAAGGGTGGAATGTTCTCATCCTGCAGGGACCCTTTAGGACTAGGTTTTAAAGAAAAGCTGCTAGTTGGAGAAAGCAGAAAGGGCCTTTTCACTGAGTATAAAGACAAACACATTACAGGCTTGAAAAAGTATTGTCCCCGAATGAGTGTCCTGGTGAAAGGGGCAGACAATTAATTGATAAGAAAAAAAAAATACTTGATTTGATGGTATATCCTTATGACTGTAAGGGAAGAAAGCAGATCGCAAGGGCCTTTCTTTTA